AAGGAGAGGTGAAGGGAGAGGGGGAAAGAGGGAGGGGGGGGGGAGAGAGAGAGAACATTTATGTTTTTAATAGAGTCAACCAATATTACCAATGTTATGTAAGAACTATGTATTCTAAAGAATTTATTGTCAGGCTGGTTCTTTAAAACACAATTGCTGAGTTCATGCTGACCAGAGTTTATAGCAGAATGTTCAATTTGTTCATGCTCAGCATGAAGTAAAAGAGGAAGATCTATTTCTTTGAGATATCCTGATAAATATAAAGAATAATAGAAATATAAAAGTAACTATTTTTAATGGTTAGAAAGGTTTGGGCAACAAAATCACAAAAAGTGTTATATTTTGAAGAATAATAAATATATTATGATGCAGATTTTTGTAGGTTCTGTCAATGAACCATAGCTACAAATTTAACACAGAGAAATAAAAGGCACCATTCGAAAGCAAAGATACCTGGTGAAATTTCAGAATAAAAGACATACACTATAATAAGGGTAATGTCATAGAACCATGTATATTATGGTTATTGCAGATTTCAAAAGAAATGAGGAATAAACCTTCAGATCTGCCACATTGATAAATAGTGATAAATGTCCACAGCTTTTGTAATTCTACAATATACACAGTATTGTTTAGTCTGTGTCAAGGTTAGAAAGCAGAAGGAACAATACACTGTTGTAGTATTTGGAAATCTTTTTAAGCCTTTTCCAATCCCACCGCACCCACCAAATAAATGTCCTAAATTCCTTTCCTGAGATAGCCTACAATCTCCTTGTCCTTTGCATTCTTCATTGTTTGGATCCTTGGTGCTGAGAACTATTCTCTGAGCTCAGTTCAACCCTGAGCTACATACATTCTCTCTCATTGGTAGCATTGCTTAGACTTAAAAAAAAAAACAATACAGAAATCTGAATATCCTTGGACAAATGTTTTTGGAGAGATGATTTTAGATTAACCTGATCTAAACAGAATCCAATGCAAGAAATTATTGGCAGAGGTTCCGAATTTGGATTCTGTTGTCTCTATTCCATTCCCCACCATGCCACTTCTCTCCCCAATCCAGTTCCAGTGAGGAAGGTTTTCCTGATTGGACTACTCCAATTGATATGTTCGAATCTGTATGTAGACAGCACAAATGCATAAATGAAAAGGTTAAGAGTAAAGACCAATTCTTTAAGAGGAAGTGTTTTGCTTGCTAAATATTCCTGATCCCTTTAATATATTTCTGTAAATAAATAATATCTTTCTGTAAATATCTTTCTGTAAGTAAAAAGAAGTACCATATTAAGATGGTAAGAGCTGCAGTGGCACAATGGTTAGAGTGCAGTACTGCAGGCTACTTCTGCTGATCACCTGCTGCCTGCAGTTTGGCAGATCGAATCTCACCANATATATGTGCATGTGTCTGTGTGCCTATGTATATGCTTGTGCGTATGTGTAAATAAACATCAGGACATGAAAATACCCCAAAAGCCATTTCTATCAGCTTATTTTGGATTTTGAATTAGAATCTAGCTTAGCGAAAGTGCTTGTTCCAATATAATTACAGTGCATAAATTCTATAGTCTTTCAGATAGAGATTTCAATTAATTTATATTTTTTACTTCTGTTAACAGATTGATTTATTAGTGTTAATCCTGTTTTTCATTTATCAGTACATTTTTAACTGAAAAAATATTCTTATTTTTGCTTGATTAAAAAGAAAACTTATATCAAGTACTTTTGACATTTCATTTTGTCAATATATTATTCATGTATTAATTGACATTCAGTTAGTCTTTTCCTTTTTGATTCTTTCATTTTCAGATTGCATTTCTTGGATTGACTTCACATGAAAGGACTACACTCTGGAAGCAGAGTAAATATTCCAAACATCCTATTTCACTTAGGAAGACTCCATATAAGTAAGTCAATTTAGAAAGTATCATTATTCAATAACTGTTTCTGCTTGAAGTAATCATAGTTGTTAAATTTGGCTTGCTTAAAAAGTATATAACTGCTTTAAAATATGCAACCACCACCACTAAACCTATCCCCCCTCCACACAGACACACAACAATAAAGAGCTGTTGTGTATCTTGCATATAAATAATAAAGCGCTCAGGGCAATTGTTTGTAGATTTAAATTTAAGATGATCTGTGTATGTAGAGGGAATGAGGCAACATCTTCATAGAATTACCACATTATTCAGTAGTAAAAAGATGGTTGGGGTGCATACACTTCCTTCAAATGTAATTAATGCATGGAACCCTGGTTATTCTGTTACATGTCATGCGTGTTGTTCTCTTTTCAGCTACAGTTTAAATTTAGATAGTTTAGTTGGGAGAAAGAAGGTCAAGATAGCTATTCCCTACATGTTCTCAGTATATCTTTCATGATACAAGTAGTTGCTTTAGTTTGGCAAGATTCCTATCTATAGATAAGGCATAATAAAGGAAACTGTTTAGAAGTAACTCTGTAGTCTTTCTTGGTTTTTGGGCCTGACAAGGAATGATACCTGTCTTTCATAATGGTCTGTAATTTAAAACCCGTATATAAAGTGAAACAGTTTGGCATTTTGAAGCAAATACTATATCTGTCATATACTTAGTTTCTTATTGTTAAGCTTCACTTTTACTTGCATTCTATGACTTCAGTGTCAGAATAGAAAGGTATGTTCTTTAAAAAAATGTTTTCAGTAGTTTGGAACTCAAAACCTATTTCTAATTTGTTTCATAATTTCACAAAACTGCTTACTAAAGAAAGGTGTTTTGTAAAATACTGTAAATAGGAAATGTTCTTTGTCACAGCATTCTGTTAGGAAATCACCAAGCCACAAGTGTTTTCTCAAATTCCAAATGTGCCACTGATCCAAACAATGGGGAATGACTAGTATACATTGTACTTGTTTGAAAGCAATTCATTTGTAAACTTATCAATAGTTCTTGGATACTTCCATGATACTGAGATTCTGGCAGCATAAAATGCTTTAAAAAATAATAATAATATGAAGGTCATTTTTAGTCTGTGTTACTTTTCTTTCTTTTCTAGTCTTGGATTCTTCCAGAACATTGCAGACTTCTTTCAGTGTAGATGCTTTGGAATTCTCAAGCCCAACGTAATTGATTGGACTAAGCAGTACACTTTAATGCTTAATTTGGCAAAAGATCGACACATTCATCCAGTGTGAAAGCGAAAATCTACTCTCAACTGCCTGGAATTTACTGAATGTTTTCAGAAAAGATATTTAGAATATTTTAAAGTATGTTGTGAATTATTTTGTTATTTGCTATGTGTCTGATTGCTATTTCAGAAAAAAATGAAAGTTTACATGGTTAAACTGAAGGAAACTGGAAATGCAAAGGCAACCATGGCTTATGTATAATACTTTCAAATACTTGGATGTGAACAAATATAGTTGTGAAATGTTACACTTCCTCAGCTTGCAAAAAAGATTATTTTTAAATAAAGCAGGAAAATCTATCTATGATTCATTTATCTCCCTCATTCAAAATTTACACTCGGTTAATAAAATAAAGATGATTTGAAATATCAAAATACGCTATTATATGAAATCCAATTTATAATTCATAAGAAGTTATTATACTTCTCTGCTAATATATAACTATGTATTAGGACTATGCAGTGCTTAGATCAAATCCCCCAGTGATCTAGGAAAAAGACATAGCTGCTCTAAAGTACTGCAGTCAGTTGTTATGCTGGCACTCTCTTGTCTTTGCAGCCTTTTGGAAATTGAATCCAAAGTATTGGACAACCCTAACCTACATAAAGGCTGTTTAGATTTGACATATGTATGCTCACATTTCAGTTAAAGCTTCAGTATATTACTGACTTTAAATATTTAAAGGAAAATATAATAGTCACTGACATTGAACAACATATGCAGTAATGACAGGCTTTTTTAAAAAAAAAATTACCTAATGCATGTAAAAACAGAAAAAAGAAGATTGACTATGAATCTTTCTGCTAGGCATTACTATTGCACATCACATTTATGGAAAATTTGACCTGCAGTACAAATCTGGTGCATCCTGAAGTTCATGCCAGAGTGGAACAGAATAAAAATTACCTCAGATAAATGCAGATTACCACTGTATTTTTGAATAAGTGGAAAGTTTAAGTGAAATGACAAAAAGCGTACTGTGTAAAATAATTTGAGAAATGATGAATGAAATGTTTATCTTAGTGCTCACAATTTAATTACACTTCTTTTATGCAGCACAGCACATTTACTGCTGTCTTCAGTAAAATATGCTTAAAGATGGAATAACCAATCAGTTTTTCCCAACAAAGATATCAAAATTTTGAGAGGATTAAATTTAAAAAATAATAGATTATACTTGCAGGTAGACTTATTAAAGTATGTTATCATTCTGACAAATCATAACCAAATGCCTATATTTCATGTTCCATCTTCACTTGGTTGATGTTTCATATATTGTATGATAAAGAATAGGAATTGAGTTTTGCTTAATTAGCACAAGTGTAAAAATAACAGTGTCAGGATTGTCTGTGTAATTATCTTGATAAAATAACCAGAATTTTGATTCAGAAATTATTTATGAACAGTCCACATCTCAGTGTTGGGGAGTTCTGTTGCTCAGGAATGAAATGCTATTTTTCAAAAATGATTTCCCACAACAAGAAATTAAATTTTTATTGTTACTTATTTAGATAGGCCTAAATGAGATCTCAACATGGCATCTTATTCCACCTTCTCAACTTGAGTGAGGCCGCCAAATCCAATTCCTTTAGGGCCAAAATTCTTTGCATAACAAACTGTAAAACAAAGAAAGGAATGATAGATTTAACTATTTTCATAAGCCTGTCAACACAAAACATTATCTAATCTTTCATAAAACCCAACTTTTCTATAAAGCTTTGAGAACAGTACCATGTTGAAATACACCTAAATATATATAACCTATATAACTCCATGTTGCTCCTTTATTTGACCCTTGTCTCCATGTAGTGCAGATTTTAAAGCAGGCATAATAATTTAGTACATCATTGTAAGTGCAAACAGGGCCACACCAGATCTGCTTTTCTAAAATTTAGATGACCACAGAAAGAGTAAGGTTCTATATTTAGGCAAGAAAAATGAAATGCACAGGTACAATATAGGTGGTACCTTGCTCAATAGTAGTAACTGTGAGAGGGAACTTGGAGTCCTAGTGGACAACCATTTAAATATGAGCCAGCAGTGTGCAGCAGCTGCCAAAAAAGCCAACACAGTTCTAGGCTACATAAACAGAGGGATAGAATGAAGATCACGTGAAGTGTTAATACCACTTTAGTCTCCAGACGCAATTCAAGGTGTTGGTTATCACCTTTAAAGCCCTACATGACTTAGGGCCAGAGTACCTTTGAGACTGCCTACTGCCACATACCTCCCAGTGGCAAGATCCCAGATTGGGCCTCCTTCAGATGCCGTCAGCCAGACAGTGTCGGCTGGCGGGCCCCTGGAGGAGAGCCTTCTCTGTGGCTGCTCCGACTCTTTGGAATCAGCTACCCCCAGAGATCCGGATCATACCCACTCTCATGGCCTTCAGGAAAGTTGTAAAACCTTGGCTGTTCCGGCAGGCCTGGGGCTGTTGACCTCACTGTTGAGGTCCAGCCCCGATTAGAATGAATGTATGAGGTGTTGCTATTTTAAACCGTTTTCTTTTGTTATGTGTTCGTTATGTGTCTTTTTTTTTCCTCTTTATTTTTGTAAGCCGCCTGGAGTCCTTTGGGATTGGGCGGCATATAAATGTGGTTAAATTAAATTAAATTTATAATGCCTTGGTAAGGCCACACTTGGAATGCTACATTCAGTTTTGGTCACCACGATGTAGAAAAGATGTGGAGAGTCTAGAAAGAGTGCAGAAAAGAGCAACAAAGATGATTAGGGGACTGGAGACTAAAACATATGAAGAACAGTTGCAGGAACTGTGTATGTCTAGTTTAGTAAAAAGAAGGACTAGAGAAGACATGATGGCAGTGTTCCAATATCTCAAGGGTTGCCACAAAGAAGAGGGAGTAAAATTATTCTCCAAGCCACCTGAGGGTAGAACAAGAAGCAATGGGTGGAAACTAATCAAGGAGAAAAGCAACTTAGAACTGAGGAGAAATTTCCTGACAGTTAGAACAATTAATCAGCTTGCCTCCAGAAGTTGTGAATGCCCCAACACTGCAAGTCTTTAAGAAAATGTTGGATAGCCATCTGCCTGAAATGGTATATGGTTTCCTGCCTAGGCAGGGGGGTGGACTAGAAGACCTCCAAGGTCCCTTCCAACTCTGCTATTGTATTGTATTGTATTGTATTAAGACAGCTGCATTGAAGAACTCTTATCTCTTTGCTTCCACCTGAATTTTTGTAGCTCTATTTAAAAAAAAATTTCAGCAAAATGACACAGGTTTTAAAGCAAATGTTTATCACACAAGGAGTTTCATGGATTGACTACATGATCATTATGTCATTTTTTGCTAGCATGATTACTTGCATGACCAAAGCTGTGGTCAGCTGTGAGACATCATACCACACACTAATTTGCTTCACCATTATTTCTTGATCCGACCAAATTTGGTTGGGCTCACACAACCAATTAAGCCATAAACCAGGCATTGCCCTTTCTCAACTCATAATGTGTATCAAGCTAATATTAGAGACATTACATTGCTTAAAGAACATGGAGAAAGGTACAGTACTCAGATGGGAAAGAAGATAAAATGTTAATGAGGGACAAATTGGATCTGCATCTGCTATTTTTATTCATAGTTCATTTTTCAGGGCACTAAAATGCTTTGAACATTTGTAAGTCAACTACCATTAAAAAAAACTAATTAGCAAAAAATATGGAATTAAAAATCTACTGTATTATTTTTGTCTTCAGGTCAGTGTTGACTCCTGGTGACTAGTCACTTCAGTTTTCTTGGCAAGAATTTGGAAGGGTTCTTGCCTCTTTCCTGGGGCTGGGAGTAGTGAATGCTCCAAGGTCACCCAATTGGCTTTGAGCCTAAGGCCGAACTAGAACTAATGATCCCCAGTTTCTAGCCTGATGTCTAAATCACTTCACCAGACTGGCTCTTCATTGAATTTGGTATGAAAATGATGAATCTATCATTGATGTGTGGATCTATCCTTCTCCACAATCTTTGAAAGAATCAAGTTTCATTGGATACTTTGAAAAAAAAAAGGGTCTAAATTCAACATGCATAGTCTAAGTCTGCATGCTAATGTTTCTCTGAAATGATATTTTACATATTACACTTGCCTTTACAATAAATCTCCCCATCTTTGTCTGTAACATTTGTAGATTCTAGACTTTTCCCACAAAAAGCACATCGGAAGCAAGTCTTGTGCCAAGGCTGAAACCGAAGACAAAAAAAAGAATTAACTCACATAAAGTATTTGCAAAGCAAGGTTTTTGTTTGGCAGTCTATTCATAAATTAAGAGAAAAATTATTTGATCTTAATTTACCTTTCACAAGCTAATCTGGACTTCAGACAGTACATTTATGCTGAATACACATGAAAATCATAGTACCATGTTTCCCCGAAAATAAGACAAAAATTTTCTTTTGACCCCAGAAATAAGCGCTTGGCTTTATTTTCGGGGAGGTCTTATTATTTTTGAGATGCAGGAGGCGCCGAGTGTGGTCACCTCATTGCTGTTGCTGTGTTGCAAGATTTTCAGGGAGGGCTTATTTTCAGAGGAGGGCTTATTTTAACGCATGCGCTTAAAAGCCCGATTGGGCTTATTTTGCTGGGAGGTCTTATTTTCAGGGAAAAGGGTAATTATTGTTGCCTCAAGCAGATCAGAGTCAGACTATCAACTGCAAAATCAGGATAACGTGTCATTTTAAAATGTGAAAGAAAGAAGACAAATGTGTCTTTCTGCCGCATAATCCTTGGCATATCAACATATTCTCTTTAGTGTTGTATAGGTTGGGAATCATAATCTTGTGTCTACTGTGCATGTAACAATATGAAGGTTGTTAATTATTCTTGGTTTGTGATAGCTGTCAGCCAAATGTTTTTAATAGTAACTGTGTATTGTGATAACATATTTCATAGATTTCTTACCTTTCCTCCTCCTATTATCTTCTCTGCAGCATACACTGACTTTCCACAACGAGGACATTTTTCTACTTCTCCAAACCTTGTGGCAAATTTTGAAGGGTTGGTAGGGGTAGACGGACGACCCGGCTTTGGTGAGCTGGTGGCAAAAAGGTTTAGCATATATTAACTTTTTTATCTCAAAGATTAACTGACCTGATCTAATATCTGACCTGACAAATAATGTATCAAATAAGGAGAGGTGAAGGGAGAGGGGGAAAGAGGGAGGGGGGGAGAGAGAGAGAGAACATTTATGTTTTTAATAGAGTCAACCAATATTACCAATGTTATGTAAGAACTATGTATTCTAATTTATTGTCAGGCTGGTTCTTTAAAACACAATTGCTGAGTTC